GCAGCGGCCAGTCTAGCTGCCGCGTTGGTCAAGTGTCGATCCCTCCTTTGAGCTGCTGCCTCAGGATATTGCTTTTGAACTGGCTCTAGCAAGCGGTCGGTTCAACTGTTGTCGTTGCAGGGAAATCAGTCCGTCTTTGAGAACAGGGTGAGTATAGTGCACACTTCATCCGTGATGTAGGGAGCGGGAAAGCTATAGGTAATAGAAATTGTTATGTTCGTTGTGGTTGTACGGCATGTGAATTACACTCGTGCTGTCGCATGTTTGATCAGTTATCATGGACAGAAGATGTTTGGTATCATTGTGAAGTGTCGTTAATGGTTGCATTGTAGGTTTGAAACCTGTATTACCAGGCATACCATGTGAAATGTCAGATGTGGGTTATTTCTTAGTGATTTTTAGTGTGTCCCAGACTTTGATTAATAACCTCTTGGTCATTTTCAGATGCTCTCTTTGCACAGTGGTGAACCGCCCGACCAGATGCCAGCCGTCTAGTTTCGCGGTGGCTCTCTGAAGCTCGTGACGGCAGACGGACACACTGTCCGCAGAGGAGCCGACACGAACAAGGCGCAGGCCTGCTATAATGACTGTGAACACTGGAAGTGAGTCCGCTGTGCCAGCGCCTTGCAGCGGCGCTAAGATGATGGCCGACGCCACGAATGTGCTGGCCAGGCTGTGAATTTGTGAAAATTTGACCTGTGTGCAACCAGTAAATTTGTGAATATATTTCAGTGTCCAATGCAATTCATTTTGTCGTGCAGGCATTATAAAGGTTGAGTTGGAGAATAATGAAGAGGCGAGGGGGTTGCGGTGGCGCAAGCAAAGTGGTCGCATCTGCATAACAGCAATCCGCGGTCATAAGACTGCGGTTAACCCGCGCACCGACGGGGGGGCGGATATCCGCCCCCCCCCCTGAGGTTATTCGCGAATAGCGGGAAAACCGTGGCGCGTAGCGCCGCAAAATTTGGTATGACTATTCCCTTATCAATTTTACACATGGTGTGCAAGTTTGAACCTCCTACCTTTCAAGGTCAGGTCACCAGGTCACTTTGAATGACCCAACCTCAAGTCACTTTTTTGCAACTTTGTCACCGTGCCAGAGCTACAGTAGATGTCGGAGGCCTTTGAAAGTCGCAGGATGTTATTAGGTCATTAGTAGCTACAATTTGTATATCTCGGAATTTTGATATCGGTGACCTAAGGTCAGGTCAATTTCGCGACCTCCCCATTATAAGTCAATGGGGGAAAAATCAACTCCCTGTTTTTACCACTAAAACGGGTCGGAATGGCCCCATATACCATACATGACTTCATATACGATCAACCTTCACTACCTTGAGGTCTGTTTTGCTGTTGGGCAGCTGTGAGGTCATGTGACATCATCAAAGGTCACCAAAGGTTTTTGGCCAATAACTCCGTACAGGAACAAGATACAGACGCGTGGATGGTCTCATTGTGTTCAGCTCGTCAAGACGCATCGAATGATATGCATGATGACCTCGAGGTCACGTGACCTGAGGTCAACCTTTGACCTTGACCTTTCGAGGTCAACATATATATCATTCGATGCGGATTGACGAGAGGATCACGATGATGCCCTTAGTTTGCTCCTATCTTGACTAATTCGAAAGTTATTCGAGAAAAACTCTCTCCATATTTAGCGCCGCCATTTTGGCTTTTTCGACCCCTGTGACGTCATCTTTGACCTGACCTGAAAATGACCTTAGTAAAAATTGTAGATCTTGACCGTGCGTATCCGATGCCGTTTACCGCTTGTCGCTATCTTGCTTCGTTCTCGAGATCTCAGGGGGGGGGGGGCGGTCATCCGCCCCCCCCCCGTCGGTACTAAGTTGACGCAGACCCCCGTCGGTGCGCGGGTTAATATGTCCGATGCCTGCGGTATTCCCAAACCGGCCGTGCGGGCCGAGTTGGGACATCCCGATCGGGATCGGAGTTCATCGCTTGTTAAAATGCCATAAGGCGGTCCGGATGCGTGCGGGATTTCCGAACCGGTTGTACGGGGAGATTTAGCGAATCCCGATCGGGATCAGAGTTCAGCGCTTGTTAAAACGTCATAAGGCGGTCCGGATACGTGCGGGATCTCCCAACCGGCCGTGCGGGGTAGGTTGGGATATCCGGACCGTTCCAGCCCGTACAAAGTGTCTCATTTCCCAATCCCGTCCCACTCCGGTCCCGATCGGGGTGTTGCGGGCTGAGTCCGAAAATCCCGATTGGGAACGGAGTGGGATTGCTGGCTGGGTACAAGGTTGGTACCGGTAGCTTAAAAATATCGTTTGAATTATATCTTTGTTTTGTCTACAATTAACCCGCGCCCTGATGGGGGGGGGGGCATTTTGGCCCCCCTGTGGTTTCTCTTAAATAGCGAGAAAACGGCGGCGCTGCGCCAAATTTTGGGTACCTTACCGGCCATCAATTTGACACCTTCACACAAAATTTCAAGTCACAGGTCACCTCAGGTCAGGAGTTATTGAGGTCAAACTGAGGTCATGTTCGAGTAAAAATGAGCAAAAAACATGACATCTTGAAACGCTCACCAATTCTACAGTTAACAAGCAATTTTAAAGTTCTTTATGTGATTGTGTAGAGAAAAAAACGGCGCTACAAAACTGCTATCTCAGATTTTCGAAATTTTGGGATTTGGACCCCCAAAATAAAAAAAGATTTTTTTAGAAAAACTAAAAAAAATCAATTTTTTCGAATTTCGAAAAAAAACGGAATATTTGTGATAGTCCCTGCGCTCTTCGATATACATACCAAATTTTAGATCGATGCCTCTTTTTTGGCCAAGTTATAGCGAAAAAACGTTAAAAATTGATGACGTCAAATTTTGAACTCAATTTTTCGCAATTCCAGACCTCGTAGCGCAAAACAGAGACCACCATTGAACTCCCCGTGACGAACTGCATCGAATCGATACCCATTTTATGCAAAAATATCAACTGTGAAATTTGACCTAATTTGACCTGACCTTGACCTGACCTTGACCTGACCTTGACCTGACCTTGACCAAAACGTGACCTAAGCTGGCCCAAAAGTCTGCATGACCCACATAATCGCATTTGTCATGTAAAATGGACCATAAAACATGTATCACACGACACTTTCATATTGTGACCCCCCCCCCCCAGTGACCTGACCTCTGTGACCTGACCTGGTATCAGTGACCTCAAATAGCAAAATATGTGTTTGAAGAACATTTCCACATCGATGATTTTCAATGAAATGCATTTTACTCGATTTTACAACGGATTTCTTGAAATGCCTGTAAACGGTGAAAATTCGACCTTTGACCTGACCTGTGACGTCATCGGTTTGACCGAGGTCAATTGGGTCACAAGGTAGTTCCCCGTTGGGGCTATCCAACGCCGTTTACCGCTTGTCGCTATGTTGCGTGGTTCTCGAGATCTTAGGGGGGGGGGGGCAAAATGCCCCCCCATCAGACCGCGCTGCTCGGCAGACCCCATCAGGGCGCGGGTTAATGCATATTTATTTGATAACTTTTAGATCTTTACGTTTACGTTATTTACGTTATTACTTACGTTATTACTTACGTTATTTTTAGTTAGATCTTTGCGTAATTCCTCAGCATCCCTTCATCGAATCCATTCAACTCCGGCTACGGTTTGTATCCCTTGTTTCAAAAGTTTGGCCTTCGGGGTACCAAGATTTCATCACTGTTGAAATTGCCACTCGGATCCGCACTCTGTGAAGGTCTCTTCACATAGCGAACTGAATGAATGTGCCGCCTTTCCAAGAAGTGTCACTGCCCAGAGTCGCCGAGTTGTGCGGCGCAAAATCGAACGGACGTCAGTCCAGTGGGACATTTCAAAGCTGTGAGTCACTCAAAATCCCTCAGTCACTTCTCTGAGAGGAGGATTTAAAATTTTAAATTGAGATTGTGTTTATGTCCGACGATATGACAGTGATCAATATATTTACTTGATATAGTGTGCACTTGTGTGATACTCCGATTATGTAATGATGTACAACTGATAATTGATACTTCATTTAAAGACTCTTAGATCTAATGTGTAATAATCACTAGCAAGGCTGAAAAAATGTTTAGAACTGGTTTCCACTTAGCAGATGACTTTTTCGGCTGGCGCTTTTGCCGGCGTTCGGTTTCTATTTCTGACGCGTTGCAGGGCGCCGTTTGGAAGGGGCGTTGAAGGTCAGGTGCCGGAGGAATCACCTCGCGACGTGGCCGTCTTATGATCGAACCATAACCGCCGGAGGCTATTTTCGGCCGGCCAACACGGCCAGAGAGGCGGCCGAGGCAGCTTAGGGCGATCGTCTGGTCGCTTCATCACACGCCCTGAATGTCCGGGGTCTTACCCCTGGCTGAAAAAGAAACGTCTCCCCACACCGGGCCGGTTCCATTCCGCCGGCATGAGAAGCTCACCAGGACGAAAATATAGTGTGTGATCGGACAGATGCAGAAAATGACACAATAAAATGGCGTTTCTGCTCAGAAAGATATACATCATGCTGACAGTGCTAGCGGCGAAATCGGACGAATGCTGACAAAGGAGGATGCATTGTGTATTGTGTTCAGGAGAACGGACTAGTAAATTTGAGCGTGATTACGCCTTTGATGCAACTTCTTGCAGCCAACGAACCGTGTCGTCGGATAGAGACTTTCCGTGAAGTTCTCCCGGTGGTGTGGGAGCGTGGTAATCTGTTTCAGGCTTTCGGAGTTGCGTGGGACACACAATTAGGGCACACCAGCCGGTACACAACAGCGACTATTTATGCCAAAATCTCAGTGAACAAAGCCTCAAATTGTTTCAGTCAAAACATCATTTTCAACTCGGGATTATATCCAGCTTGAGGACGCGTTTGAGATATTCCCTGATGCAAAGCAAAACCGCAAGCGCAATGCAATGCAAACAAGTACGCAAAAGATGATGCCACAAAAATAATGAAATCCTTGTGATAATACTTGTAAAAAGGCGTTGATAACACTCTTTCTTTTCCAGGCTGAGCTGTGAAGCATGGCGGTGACTGCGGAATCTGATCCGCTGTCGACAATCATGGCCACGACTCTATCCAGCATCGTCTCCAACACGTCTAACAGCTCGGAGACGACGTCAGGAGACGAGGAGGATCCGGCCTGGGGTCTGGTGGCCATGATCACCACCTCCTGCATCCTCGGTGTGGTGATCCTGACGACCGTCATCGGTGAGTAGAACAAGACTGACCAGTAGTAGAACGAGTTGGGTGGAGCTCATTCATTATAGCGTGTGTTCCGACTGAGTTGTGAAGATGAATGGTATACCAGTGGAAGGGACATGGTGTTGATTCGTTCAGTTGAGCAATACTATTCCTCATTACTAATGATTTACGTGAGTTACTAGATTTAAACACAAACCCAGACAATTCGATGAATAACTCAGGCAACCCCTTTTGATGGTTCATATATCTTTTTGAAGAGATCCGACAACCACTGAAAGAGCTCAGACAGAGCCTCATACAACCCCTTAGGCCGTCATGTTGTTCCTGTAAGAGTATTTAATGGCTGTGACATCCTCTGAGAGGGCACAGACGGATTCCTGAAGGACTCAGACGGCCTCACACAGCTCCTCAGGCGGCTCAGGTAGCCCCTCGGGTATGTGAGCCCTCTAGTACCTCTAGTACTAGAAGTCTAGTACCTCTAGTAGTCTACATAGAACCTCAGTATCTCTAGCCCCATGGCTCTGACCACCCCTGAGAGGGCACTGGCAGCTCCTAACGTGGACTGGTTGCGTGACTCGTGACGAGTCTTCATCAGATCGGAGACGGCCGCTCGATAATGACCCGTGACAACGAGGTCTGTCGGCGGCATCAAAGGAGCACACGGCGCCACACAGACTCCGGGAAGTGTCTATAAGGGGCGACATTTGTCACGAAACGCACGTGCTTCCGGAGACCGCACGCACAGTACATAAGTCAAGATCGCTCAGCGGCTTTAGGCGATCATTGTGGTGCAAACGAGGAAGCAAGAGAAATGTGAATATGTAAATGAAGGTGTTTCGTGGTGAATTCTGCAGTAACATGACAATATGTATTTGGGTGGCTGTAGTTCTTATATCCTGATTAGCGGTCACGGCCGCTGACCTCAAAATGCTCAATATGGTTTGATTTTTTTTCAAGTTAGGAAGTAAAAGAATAAATTGCTTTTTTGCACTGACGACAAACCCGATTAATTTCCTCGCTACTCAATATACTGCTTTTTGATTTTCCTGGCATTTGATCATGCATTTTGCGAACGGCGCCGGAAAGGTTCGTTGCCTCATGGTCTGTGTGATCTTGATCTATTTTTTATTTAAGCTTTCTTCCTGTTCATTGTTAAGCTCGTCTTTGAGGTAAACTAACAGAACACCGTGTTAGGTAGCCTTTTTATTGATTCTACTGTCATTCATTTGTAATGCATATTTACAAAATTAGATGCCTACAGAGTATACCTACATGCATATTTGAGTAGAATATGGCATCATGCAACCAAAACCTACTAGATAAAATGCGCACAAATCTTGTGTCCTCACGGAAATCCTTTCGTTCTTATTCCCAGTACCGATATCACCCAATATTACCATCCATCCAATCGTCACCTCACCATGTTTGCCCTCGGCATTGACACTACATACATCCTTTATATCTCAGACGTTCACTTTCTGAGAACACACAAGATGCCCGGCGGCGGCGTCGAGCCTTTCGTGCGCCTTTCGCCACACCACGTGCCCGGGGCGTATCTGCTGGCTCCCCGACCGATAGCTGTTTGGAGTGGTGCTTTGGCACGCGTGCAGGCTGCGGGCTCCGTTTCATTAGCTGGTGCGGGAGGAGCCTCTTCTGGGCGCGCGCCCTGAGGGATACAGTACGCCGAGAGAGGATGGAGAATGTCGGGAGATGATGGGAGAATGTCGGGGGAGGATGGGAGGATGTCGGGGGATGGGAAGATGTCGGGGGAGGATGGGAGGATGTCGGTGGAGGATGGGAGAATGTCGGGGAGAGGATGGGAGAATGTCGGGGGAGGATGGGAGAATGTCGAGAGGGATGGGAAACTGCACAGCACCGAAAGAGAGTATTGGGATAGAACAACATCGGAGGAGACAGAAACGCGTGAGGCGAGGATGAAAAGGAAGAACAGGGGATGTCCTTAAAGAAGATACCGTAGTTTGAGGGTAGAGGAGAGCACAGGGGTGGAGGACTAAGGAATACTGGAAAGAGCTGTAGAGAAAGGTACTGTATCCGAAGAGAGGAGAACGCCCGGTTAGAGGACGGTCAATGGTTGGTATGTACAGTCCACAGCAGAAGTAATGTGGGGTTTCAGTCATGGGTATGTTCTGCTTCTGAAGCTTAGGAACGATTAGCCAGACTACAATGAAACTTTGAATGTAGCTTATATGTATCGTCACCCTTGCAGCTGCAACTTTAGCTATTGACATCTTCTTTTCGAGCACTCCGCATTAAACAATCGCCACTCAAAGCCAACCGTTGAGATTGGTAAAACCCTACATTACTTTAGCGGTGGGCTGTACATACGGGGAAAAGACGGCGCAGTAAAGGAATGGATGCCGGAACAACAAATATCGGTATACTTATGGCGGTGCATTGCCCACGGAGCGCCTTGTTGAGGCAATTACGGCTGAGAATGCGTCTCAGCTAAATTGCTGGCTTTGTACGCTAAACAAAGCAACATAAATTAGCATTTCACCTGAAGTTTTGTGCAGGAGCTGTGGGAAGAATGTCTGTAACTTTCCATCAAGAGAAGATATATTATCATTTCCTGGTAGAAAGGAATTATATTCCCTACCTGGGAGCTAGCTTGTCCATGGCATATCTCATTTACTCATCACACGTATCATACGATATATCCATTGCAATGTATGTAAATGCATTGTGGATAACACGGCCACGCAGAATCCTGAATTATTGTTTTGCAGGTTGCTGAGTGGTCAGCCGTAAACAATGCCTATTTACCTTAACCCGCGCCCTGGTGGGGTCTGTTTATAACGCGACCTGGTGGGGGGGGGCTATTTTTGCCCCCCCCCCCTCGTATCTCCGAAACTACTGGACGGATCCGCAAAATTCAAACGGCGTTCGAAAGGCCTGTCAAATTTGTCGAAGGAAACCAAATTTCATTGACCTCGGGTCACCGATGACGTCTCAGGTCTGGTCAAAGATGAAATGTTTCACCGTTCACGGGTCTACTAGGGAATGCGCTATAACACCGAGGAAAACGCATTTTGTCGAGAATCAGCGATAGGGCATCAGTTGCCTAGTAGATATGTTGCTATTAGAGGTCACTGACAATACCAGGTCAGGTCACAGGTCAGGTCACCAAGGGTCACAGGTCAGGTCACATGAACCCAACTTTACTAAGGTTGTGTGATGCATGTTTTATGGCCAATTTTTCATTTCCAACTCAATGGTGTTGGTTATAAGACTATCAGGTACGCCTTAGGCTACTTTCTGGTGAAGGTCAGGTCAACGTCAGGTAAAGGTCAGGCCAAAAAGGCCTTATTTTAAAGTTGATAGTTTGCATTAAATGGGCATCGATTCGATGCAGCTTGTCACGGGGAGTCTAATGATGGTCTTTGTTTTGCGCTACGGGGTCTAGAATTGCTAAAAATTGAGTTTGAAAATTTGACGTCATCAATTTTGAACAGTTTTTTTTCGCTATCACTTCGCCAAAAAAGAGGTATCAATCTAAAATTTGGTATGTGGATGGATGGAAGGCGGTAAGGACTATCACATATATTCCGGTTTTTGCAAAATTCAAAAAACTTTTTGGATTTTTCGACTATTATATCCAAAAAATATATTTTTTGATTTTTGGGGGTCAAAATAAAAACAAATCAAAAATCCGAGATAGCAGTTTTGTAGCCTTGTCAATTCTACAGCTTTTATGTCCTTATCATTTTTCTGTATTTGCAAAGCTATAGGCCTGACAGCTCTTCCCGCGAAACCCTTTTTTGGGTCGAAAACGGCAGAACATGACGTCACTCTGACGTCATTTCCGGTCAACCTATCATAGCTTTTGGAAAAATTTTTGGTCACAATGTGTAAAATTGATGTTCGGGAGGGTACTGAGCGTTTGGTGACGATCGGCGCAGCGGTTCTGGAGATATATCGAAAAGTCTGGAGGGGGGTGGGGGGCAAAAAATAGCCCCCCCCCCCCCCCGCCAGGTCGCGGGTTAAACGGCGAATAGTCCTTCAATCTATACTTTTTCACCCACATCGCTGGTTTCCAATTAATGCCTCGACAGCGTTGAAAACAAACAAATGAAACTAGAAATACGTAAAGTATTAACCCTATTCCTGGCGGGGGGGGGGCCTCAGGAGCCCCCCCCCTGAGGTTTTTTGGTTATATCTCCCAAACGCTTTGAGCTAGGAAGCTCAAATTTTCTGACTTTTTCTAAAAGGCTTTTACGCAACATTTCTGAAAATTTTGAGTTGATCTGACCTCAGGTCAGGTCACCAGAGGCGGTTTGGTGACCCTACCTCAGAAAAGTTTGCAGTCACGCCAGAGCTAGAGTTTTTGACCGATCAATTTCTTCTGTTCAGGCTTTAGTTAGGGTACATACCAGTATGTGCAATTTGTATATCTCAGAATTTTCATATCTCTGACCTGAGGTCAGGCCAGACTCGTGACCTTTACATTGCAAGCCTATGGGAAAACATTGAAACGCCTCCTGCTTCGTGTAAACGAGTCAAAACCACCCAGTTCTTTCAGTATTATGGAAGATTATCTCATCGGTGATGATCCTGATGCCGCTAATTGACAGGGGCACCGGCAAAGGTCATCTGAGGTCATGTGACGTCATAAATCGTTTTTCTGTCAATAAATCACGACATGATGGTGCTAAAGACTTGTAAGTGGTACCAAACTGCTCGCCTGGTCAAGGCGCGTCGTTTGGTATGCAGCATGACCATACCCCACAACCTCATTGATGAATGACCTGACCTTGACCTCAGGTCAAATTTTAAATTGACCTGTGAAGGTCATCACATGCTTATTTTGCATCGCCTCGGTGAGAGCAACAAAAAAATGTATTGGTTTTATGTCTCTATGTTTCTTAGCTTAAAAGTTATACAGGCCGTTTTCACGACGGAATAGCAGGCATCTATTTAATCCCCATTTGATCCTTTAGTTCCTCAGGAATTTTAGTAGTTCTTTTTAGTAGGTTCCCCAGCTTTCG